ATTATAAATGTCGCCAACGCGCAGAAAATCTAACAAACCGCATACCTTCAATGCATCCGCCTTCTTCTTCAAAAGTTTGTGTCCAGATTCAGCAGCCTTCTTCTTTCCTTTGAAGACCTGCTGGTTCATACGTGTTGGAGGTACATCCGCCATGGTTGCTTAGCTACGATTGCTGCGTTGATGCAAAGGAAAGGCTGCTGCTACAAAACCAAGGACGAAAAAGTGCAGGATGCCATCGAACGGCTCTTTACACTACTACGGCAAATAATTAGCAATTTGAGAACCGCTGGTAACGGTAGTTTCGCCGAAAGATTCTGCATTTGAGCATTGAACGCAATTCTGTACTAGAGTACTACCATACGCCACCAACTGGTTACTGGTGCTTTGAGTACAGTGAAGTACTACTGTTAAACACAGAACTTGTACTCGAAGCTCCGAGTAAAAATGAGAACGTGAGATACAGACGTACAATGGAATACACCCTCAACCCTCAATAACTCTTCCCATCCGTACCATATGGGATCTCCAATTTATTACAGTAGTAGCAAGTGCTCAAAGTCATACAGGGAGCGGCACTTCATCTCGCAAAAATTTCTTCAACGATCATGAACAGGATATGGACAAGGTAATGCTTGCTAGTTTAAGGTAGGAGACATTCTACGTTACGTGGTCCTTGTGTTGGTGTTACAAGATCAACTCCAGCTAGGCAAGTCAGTTCGATAGTCCAAAACATTGCCCGAAGAATCCACCATGCGATACTTGAGAGCATGCAACCATATACCTCGACTCCGAACCAGGAGTTCCAGCATGCTACGATCGGTCCCACCACTCCGAGCGCACCATACGCAAGTCTTTCGGTAGAAATCCTCTAGTGATTCGTGTTCTTCTCTCTTCAGTTCGGCCAACCTGGCAATCTCTTCTTCTGTAGCAGGAGTGTCGGAAATTGTAGCAACCTCCTTCATTTCTTGAACCTCAGCATCACTACTACTAGCAGCAGAAGCAGCCACAATACCATTTAGTGTTTCCAGCGTGGCTGCCGCTTCTTGACACGCCAGTTTGCCCTTTGCATCGCCGAACCATAAATCCCCTCCATAACATGGATCGTTGGCGATGGGGTGTCCCAGATATTGCAGGTGCAAACGAATTTGATGCGTCCTTCCAGTTTGAGGTCGGCACAGGAGTATTGTCGAGTCCGTGTCTGGATCGTACCGGACGACACCAAAGGATGTTTGTGCTGGCTTGACCGATTTGAGATACAGTTCGTCAGAGAGAGCCTCAAAAAAGCCTGCATGGCAGATGCCATCCTTGTGGTTGGAAATTCGAGTGGGACATGCCAGATGAAACCACAACGCTGGTTTCTTGTTACTGTTGTCACTCTCGGACGTCGAAAGCCATTCCTCCACTGTCAGATTCGAGGTTAAAACATTGTCGATGGACGACGTGGGGTCAACTTCTCCGCTATTCCTTTCGGTCAGCCAAAAGGCAAGAGCGTTGGCGCTTCGTTGTGCGTCGGCGGATGCATTGGTGCTCACGGCGTTTGGCGTCGACCGATATACTCCATATTGAACAGTATCCGTATCAATACGTTGGAGATTGGATGGGCATTGAAGTGGAAATTTACCCCTCACTCGTGCTAAATAAACCTTTTGACATGTAGCACGTTCCATCAATGCCTTGCCCCACGTTTGCGCCACCTTGGAGTTCTTTGCTAACAGGACTAGGCCTGAAGTTAATCGATCCAAACGATGAATGATGTGCAGTTTACCATAGTTTGGTTCCAGAATGGGAAGGAGCGAGTTCTGTTGATATGCACCGCACGGGTGAACAGGGAGCGTGCCGGGTTTGTCGACAACAACGAGGTCGTCCGTCTCCGCGACAATCGTGATTGGTGAGTCTTGTCCTGAAACCACCACACCTGGTTCGTGACGGTGAACTGTGTGCGACAAAACGTCGTTTCCTTTAATTTTGTAACTTAGGTCCACTTGTTTGTCAGACACTTGAATCCGGCCCTGTAGAATGGCAGATGTGTAATAGGTCTTGGGATACGATCCAAACTCCGAACAATATACATCCAAGACAGACTTCCCAATCCATCGAGCTTTAGCAAATGTAGCGAATGTGTACGGGTAAGGTTCAATAGTACGAATGTAAATTGTCGGACTGATGAGAGCGTCGTTCAAGGCGAGGGGACGGATGGAAACATTGTAATCAACAGTGGGTTCCTGACGAGCTCGCTTACGATTCCGTTGCGATCGAGGTCCTCTGTTCTTGCGCTTCTCTCGTACTTCACTTGACATACTTGTGTCGATCGTATGACAGAAGGTGCAAGAAGTGTCAAGGAAATGAGCAGACTCTCGAGGGTCGCAATTCGGAATGGGCCGAAGTTGCGAGTTGCGAGTTGCGAGGTGGATTGTGTGTGGGTCGGACCGTTAATTGCTGCCACAGATTCTAAAGTACCGCAGATACTGTCGCAGCGCAGAAAACTGCGCACAAATTCTGGCGCAAGGACTGGCCTTCGTTCTCCAAATGCCGACCATAGCAGCAGATGATAGGTCCTCCGGAAAAAATGAACTCCACACACAGTCACTTTTCACCAATCACACAGAAGTAATGCAAACAAAATTGTAAAAAAGCACCGCACCGTTTGTCCATCTCTGATTCATCCACACGACACCATGTTCAACGTGGGACGCTTCGACCCCGATGCTGTCGATCGTGTTTCTCCGAAAAAGAGAAAAGACACCGGGAAGACAAAGAAGAAGAAGGAGGCGAAGAAAGTAAAACGAAAGAGCGACCACGACGGTGATGCACCGTCGTCGCCATCAGGAAAAGGCACGGCAAGCATGCGCGTGATCGCCCCAGAACAAAAATCGATAGTTCCAAAGCAAACATGGACGGACGAAGCAATGGATGATTTTGATGTGGATAATTTTTTACTGGACGCTGGGGATTCAGCCGAACCAACTGCCACAGAGGATGGAGTTGACATACTTCCGGAAACGACCGCCGCTCCTTCCAAGGAAGTTGCTCGCGCCCTTCACATGTCGAGCTTACCCATAGAGCAGGCAGCCAAAGCATGGGACTTGGCGCCGTTTTTGGTGGAGAACTTGAAACAAGATGGCTACAAATCATTTTTTCCCATTCAGTCCCTCGTTATTCCGGATGTTATTTCGTCCGAACGCCATTCTCAAGTTTTGCAATGTCGTGATGTTTGCGTCGCGGCGCCGACTGGATCTGGGAAGACGCTGGCATTTTGCATCCCAGTCTTGAATGCCCTAGCCCTTCGTGTTGTGCGTTGCTTGCGAGCATTGGTCGTCCTGCCCAGTCGAGATTTGGCTGCCCAAGTGTATCAAGTCTTTCAGCGTTACGCACAAGGGTCGGATCTGAAAATTGGATTGGCAATTGGACAATCGGATTTCTTACAGGAGCAACGTACTATAATGTTGGGGGAGCAGCGACCTATGGAAGATGTAGCGACTCTCAGACTACGACATCAACTCGATCCGACGAATCTTGGTTTGGAGTTAGAGTTGCATGGGAGAGAGCAAGGGTCCATCTTGGACGTCAACGGAGCAATCGATGTCTTAATTGCAACTCCAGGACGGCTTATTGATCATTTGGATAAAACTCCGGGTTTTTCTCTGCAGCATTTGCGCTTTCTCGTAATTGATGAAGCGGACCGACTAGTCAGTCAGTCGTACCACTCTTTTATTGGACGCATTGTGGAATCGGTAAACGCCACATCCCAAAAGGCTTGGTCGAAAATCGAAAGCGGTGAAGAACTTGATAATCGACCCATTACATGGCGGCAACCACCTGATTCGGCAATCGCGACTTCGTCCGTTTACTATCGGGTGTGTCAAAGAGTACAATTGCGAAAGCTCTTGTTCTCAGCTACCATGACGAAAGATCCACAAAAGCTAGCCAGTCTGGGATTGATCAATCCGAAATTCTACGACGCACACCATCTCAAGGCTGGAGGAGGCACGGCAAGTTCACAGCGCTACACAATGCCGGTTGGTTTGTCGGAGTACACTGTCGAGTGCACAGCCGAACAAAAGCCACTCTTCCTCTTGGCTCTGCTGTTGGAGCACAAGTGTGAAGGCTCTATACTTGTTGTTTTCACTGCCAGTCTAGATTCCACTCATCGTCTCGCGAGGCTGCTGCAGCTCCTATGGAAGGAAGGTGGGATCGGCGACCCATCGTATGTCGCCGAATTCTCAAGTGCTCTGAATCAAACGCAGCGATCAAGTCTAGTCAAGCAATGCAACGAAACGTCGGATATCAGCGTAATTGTTTGCTCTGACGGGCTATCCAGAGGCATGGACATTCAATCGGTTAGTGCGGTCTTCAACTACGATGTGCCAAGTTTCGCCAAGACATATGTCCATCGCTGTGGACGAACGGCTCGAGCAGGACGAAGCGGGAAAGCAATTACGCTTCTCAAGAGTGGACAGATTCCTTTGTTCCGTAAAATGCGTCAGCTGATTGAAGACCCAAAGCAAGTCACTTCGTTGGAGATAAAGAAAGATCTCATCAGGGAGTCATTCTCCCACTACAAAACTTGTGTTGCCAAACTCCGTGTGCTCATAGACGCTGAGAAGAATGGTACCGTGAATCCAGTTGGACCTCTACCTCCTGGCTAGTCTAGCCTGAAAGCAAAGCAGCTGTTGCACATGAAACCGAAGTCGGACCATTCGTCCTTCCTCATATGTTCGTCAGACTCCTTCCAACACATAAAATCGTTTTGGTGGATGAGGTAATTGAACCGGCTCTCAGTCAGAGCCTTTTCTCAAGCTGTGTGACGCCTTCACACTGAAAAGCTATGCTAAGTAGTAAGGATTCTGCTACTTTCTACTATTAGATCGACTATGGTACCAAGCAGTTCTTGTTCGTGAACTAGACTAAATTGGACGATAGAAGACGATTAATGGAGGTTAGAGTGCAAGATTGTAATTTACCACACTTTATATTCAGAATTTCAACTTCTACGGTAACGTCTCGTGATAGCTCAGTTGGTAGAGCGGCGGACTGTAGAGGAATGCATTACATCCATCCGTCGGTCACTGGTTCGATTCCGGTTCGCGAGATTTTTTATTGAAAAAAATGACATTAAATTCTTGTTTAAAGGTCTCGATTCTACCGGTAGACGGCTAGAGTCGTTGCCTACATGTTCTTTTGGACTCGTATGATGGCCACAGGTGAATGATTGTTTATATAGTTGACAGACATACATGTGTCAGGTAGCAATCCCTGCGTTTGGGAATTCAGCGTGGGCGATTGATGATGCATGAGCTACAACAGACGCTCTTAGCAGATCATGTATGGTGTTCATTTCCATGGTTCCCGCAGCTAGGTGACGATGGCAACCTAGAGTCTCAATGCTGGTTGAAAAGCAATGGCCAGTTCGTATTTGGTGAGATGACAATCTAAGGAATCAAACGATGCCAAATGGTAATCCTTTCAATGAGAAAACCGCAAAAGCATACACTGCTATTCTCCTACTTCGACTTTCTCTTAGGAGCTGCAAATCCAGTGAGCTGGTGCGATTTCTTGGATATTGCCTTAAGCGACTTGTTGTGGTCTGGGTAAACCGTTGAGACTTTGGATCCGGCTTTGTTTACAACATGGACCCTAACAAATCCCCCCGAGCTTCCATCACGTTCGATTGCTAATCGAATAGCGTTAACAACAAAGTCAATTGCTTCTTGTTCGTCCATGTCTTTGCGATAATTATTATCCATATGCCCCATTATGAACGTTGATCCTGATCCACTCACGGCAAACCCTTGATCTTCCTTCAGCAACGACCCATTCGGTGCGATCGAAAAGATACATCCCTCTCCCTCCTGATATCCTGCACAAATCAAACTTGCCGACATGTCTTGGCTCACTTGCGATCGCAGCAAATGCGCAATTTGCGAAACAGTCGGCAAGACTCGATATCGGTAATATCGTTCTCGAAATTCGACATCGGCCAATTCGGCCAAGTGTTGTGTATCGGCGGCACTCCCCGATCGACAAATCACGGCCGTCTGCAATATGGTGGCAATTTTGTCGGCATAACGATTGGAAACGTAGGAACCGACCGACGTGCGTGTGTCGGCGCCCACAATAACGCCATCCTTGTAACAGATTGCCACCAACGTAGTCCCCAGACTAACTTCTTGTTGTTGCTCAGCAGTAGACAATCCAAGTGACGCAATAAGTAGGCACAGAGACAGGTACCATGGGAGAGATTTAGAGCGAGGCATCACTATGGGGGATCAAATGGATCCAACTTGATGGTGATGAAAGATGAGGTGAGGTCAGGAACGAGGTTGAGTGCGCCTTGGTATGATGAATCATGAATCATGATCGATGATCGATGATAATTCAAGGCTTGGCACGTTTATTCAGAATTCAGAGTATTTCGTACCAGTACACAGCAGTACACATTGAAAAAAATCTACGTACATGTACATACAGTGCATACCAACCGTACTATAAAACATGCAGTAACAATTGGGTTATTGGAGGCATGTCTGTCAGCTGTCAATACAGACTACAGACCAACAAATCCCGCCACAAAATCAGCTTACAAAGCACATGGTCGCATCTACTGAGAATGGAACATGGAGAGAGCGACAGTGAAGTGAAAGGTGCCGATCCACTCAACGAGCATGAGACACAGTTGGTACCCGTCGAAAACTACAAGCATGTTGGTGTATGTTGTTTCTTGTTAAAGTATGGAGTATGTGAACCTCCCCGACCGCCGTGTCGGTTTCGACATCCTCCGTCCTTCGAAATCGATGACGGACAGATGCTGTGTTGCTTTGGACCGACGTGTCGTTTGGGACATGCGAAACGCATACGAGAATTTACTGGCAGAACACTAGAAGAAAAGCGAGACTATTGGAAACGCTACAACAATTGTCCGTCGTCCAAACCAACGGCGACGACACTGGACAACAATCACAGTCCAGCAGTCCGCAACGCCACCATGTTGCAATCTCAATTGGAGCCTTGGTCGACGGCCGTTTTGAGACAGAGATTGGCGCGAGACTTTGGAAACGACCACAAGGCACTAGATGTAATGGGAAGACTTGAGATTATGGAACTCCTCCTCGAGCATTATGAACCATATTTGCCCCGTCGCATGATTCACGTCCGAGGCTCGCCTATTCGATCGGAGTTGGCGGCTGATATTCTTGTGGCATTGAAAGCCTGGCAACAACGCCATGGAGATGTCAACAAGCGACCCTCAATTCATGCTCAGTCGTACATGGTCTTGCGATCTCCAAAAGAATTTGGACAAAAATACAGCAACAAGGCGACGCTGGCGGCAAAGAAGATAGAGCAAAACAAACAATTGTGGGACTTGGCACAGACCGCGTTGCAAGAAGTGGATGCAGACTTTGCTGAGAACTTCTCAGCTCTTGCCGTAACGTATGGCTTTCAAGGGAGCCCGCACATTGATAAGCAAAACACAGGTCCCTTTTACGGACTGGCATTGGGAGACTTTGTGGGCGGAGGAATCTGTGTTGAGGTGGACTCCTTTACCGTTGCTCAAGTGTGTACAAAGGACTGTTTGGGTAAGGTTGATGGTCGCTACCCACATTGGGTCGCTCCGTACGAGGGTGACCGCTATTCGCTTATATACTATTCCACTTGGCAACAATACGAAAAACCTGCTATGCCATACTTTGGAGAAGTTGTTGATCCATTAGAACTATGACTGATAGAAATGCAACAAGCCGATCCTGCTTTTGTATCGACTGGACATGGTCGGTGTGTCGTGTTGATGGAGCCTCAATGACGCAATGAAGTGTTAGCTGGGTTATGGGTGGACCATGAAAAAAGTGACCTTTACCACGTGTTATAGGTTTATACTGTAGTACTTGTACTACTCCACTTCACACCTACCCGTTACCCGGCATATAACGTTCGTAGACCTCGTCAAAATGCATTTCTTCGTATCCTTCCAACGTCCAACTTCCCCCCAGCGCAAGATTGCCGTCCACTTCGCGAAAAAACATTATCACCGTGTCTTTTGTTCTATTGCGTCAACTCTACAATCCCTTGCCTTGATCCAAAGCGACAAGAGACAGGACGTCTACTTGCTCATCCCACCTCCTAACATTCAAGGTTCGTTTCTGAATACAAAGAGCAAGAGCATGGGTGAAGCTGAAGCGAATAAAAAGGAGACATTGCCGGATTCTGGTACTGCCGTAACGACAACGGCAGCAGGGCAAACGCAACCGAAGGATGATGCCAAAGCAGAGACAACTGTTAGATTTGCACCTGACACCAAAACGGCCAAACCTGTGCGGGTTGTTTATCGTCCCCAACCTCAGGCTCCTCTCATCAGTCAATCCCGTCACAAAGTTGGAAAGTTCGAACCCAAGCGTGATCTACCCATCTTCCTCGGTGTTTTTGCAGTCCTTCTTTTGGTCGCTTTCGTTTCCAATGATATCGGACGAAGTCATACACCAGAGGAATTGAAGAGAATGAAGAAGAAACCAAGTATTAATGATGTTAAAGATCTACTTGTCAAGGCGACGGAGGAATTTCGGCGCGTCGAAGAAGGCCGACGTCGCAAGACGGAGTGTGGACTTTTTCTTGGCGAGAGTACTATCCCATCGGCAGGTCTCAGTTGGTATTCGGGACGCAACTTTGAACCTGGAGAAGTTGTGCTGGAAACCGGGGATAAGCTAGGAGAGGATGTTTATGAGAACGAGTTGTTCCTCAAACACCATCCTTTCATGGTCAATGTCGAGCGCGACCAAGGACAGTTTCGTGCCACTCGTTCTATTCAACAAGGGGAGGAACTCTTTCTGTCCGTAGTGCAGCATCCTCATTCGCGACTTGGCGTCGACCACCCCTTCTTTCGCAATATTCCCACAGCAAAGGATTACCGTATTGCTGAAGACATTTTTCTCATCGAGGCTGATGCCCTAATCTTGAACGCACCTCGGAAAGTTAAAGGAAACGCAAGACTCAACATGGCACATTCGAATCCGAAAATCGGTCGAGGTAAGAACTTGGTTATACTCTGCGAAGGACTTCAGCAGTGCTTTGAAACAATTATGCTTACACTTCGATCCAGATAAGACCCTGGAATTGGTAAATCGCGTGGCTACCTTGTTCAATCACCGAGTCGCAAACTTGCTACCAACGAAGGCAAACACCCTCGGAGCATATTTTGATAATGACCGTCCATACGCGTATTATGTGGTCCAAAACCGAACCATTTATTGGTTGGAACATCGCGCTCACTGCATGGATGATGTCGTGGTAAGGGATGACGGCCTATTTGCTCAGCGTCCGGTCAAAAAGGGTGCCACCATCGTTGTTGCGCCACTTCGTGTCCAAGAGAAGGATAATCAATGTATCGACTCTGATTCTTGCGAGTCGCCAACTAGCCTTTGTTTTGGGCATTCGCTGTCGTCAATACAGTTGTGCCCAGTCACCATTGCGTCGCGCATGAAATACACCGATGATCCATTGAAGTCTAATGCCGTCTACCAGTTTGGTGAATGGAACATGTTCAACCGCGTTGCACGGGGTATGAGCGCTCACCATGTTTTAACCGATCTCATGACTGGGTTGACTATGGACATCGTTGCCTCCAAAAACGTTGATGTCGGCGATGAAATTGTTCTTCACGTTACGGACGGCAAGCTGGCCGAGTACGGAATCGAGATGAGTGATTTCAAGTTCCCGCCAAACTGGTGCCATGTCCCTGAAACGACACATAATTCGCCGGGAGAAGAAGAAAAGGCAGAACCTGCAGAAGCTCTAAAGGATTCAGGCGCCGAAGTCCCGTATTAGGATTTCTAGCTCCTTAACAAGATCGGATGCAGTGATTCGACTCACAGGATCAAACTCGTATGTCAAGTCGATGAGAGCTGCCAGGCCTGCATCACTTGTTTTCGGCTTCAAATATTGGTCTGCAATGGGTGGCTTCTCCCCCTTTGAAATCCGTTCCTGGGCATCAAGAATCTTCAACTTGAGCCAGGGTTCCTCTCCAGTTAAAATCTCATAGAGCACATTGCCTCCGCTATAGATATCCACTTTCTCAGTCAGTGCATGAAAGGCATATTCTTCA